TCTGATGTGAGTTCAAGTGATCAATTCCCACTCCACCTAGTAGAGGAAATGGTGAACCCTTTGTGTAGGTTATCAACATCCAGAGCTTCTACAATTAGTCATACACCATGTCCAGCATCCAGTCAAAAAATCCCGGGCACAGCAAAAGTGGATGAAATGACCAGAAACCAAGGAAGGATAAAGGCAACAGAAAAAGATCCACAGATAATCTGGAGTTTTCAGACAAGAATTTTTATTATTTATTTATTTTTAGAGAGATGGAGGGAGGGAGGAAGAGAGGAAGAGGAACAGCAATGTGTGGTTGCCTCTTGCACTTTCCCTACTGGGGACCTGGCCCACAACCCAGGCGAGTGCCCTGACTGGGAATCAAACCTGTGACCCTATGGTTCCAAGGCCAGCACTCAGTCCACTGAGCCACACCAGCCAGGGATCAGATAAGAATTTTTAAATAACTGATTCATTAGTTAAAGAAAAACATGGAGGATGTGAGAGATAAATTCCCTAGAGAATTAGAACCTAATAAAAATAACTGAATGAGCCCTGACTGTTTGTGCCTCAGTGGACTGATCACCATCCTGGGAACCAAAGAGTTGCCAGTTTGATTCCTAGTCATGGCACATGCCTGGGTTGTGGGCCAGGTCCCAGGCTGGGGGCTTGTGGGAAGCAACCAATCTGTTTTTCTCTCACATTGCTGTTTTTCTCCCTGTCTTTCTCCCCCCTTCCCCTCTCTTAAAAATAAATAAATAAAATATTTTTAAAAAAATCTTCTAGAACTGAAAAATATAACAACTGAGATTAAGAACTCAATAGATGGATTTAGCAGGAGAAGAGATAAATTAGAAAGCAGAGCGATAAGAAATATCTAGTCTGAAGCCAAAGGGAGAAAAAGGATAGGAGACAGAAAAGAAAGGGAACATATGCCATACAATGACAATTTCTCACATCCAGATTACTGGCATCCTAGAAAGAGAGGAGAGAGAAAATGGGACAGAAACAATATTTTTTAAATGTCTGAGAAATTTCTAAAACTGACAAAAGACATTAACTCACAAATTAAAGAAGCTCTATGGCCCCCACATGGAAAAGTAAGAGAAAGAAACCCACCCTAGGTGTTATCATAGTAAAACCACTGAAAACAAAAATAAAGAAAAATTTAAAAAACCAGACAGTAGAGCATGGGTGGGGGAAGTTACTTTCAAAGGAACAATAAAAGGACAAGGCAGTTGAATTTTCTTTAAAAAGATAGTGTAAAAAAATAATGGAATTACATCTTTTAAGTGTTTAAATAAAAACTCCTAGGTATAGTCAATAGAAGAAAAAATTAGTAAATTAGAAGATACCCAAAAATATAGCAGAAATATAAAAAATATGATACAGGTTAAGAGATAAGAAGAATGGGATGATATAGTCTAATTTACATTTAAACAGTTTCAGAGGGAACACAGAAAATATTGAAAGAGCAAATGATTTAAACATTTTCTAAAACTTATTAAAGATATTATTATACAGATTCAAGAAGCCCAAAGAATCTCAAACAAGAAAAAAGGAAAAAAGAAAGAAAACCCCTAGCATGCCAGTAATTTTTCTGCTGGTTCTCAGCTCCAAGCTCATCCTTCTGTACTCGGCTGTAGTCCTGGACTTGTGACGACATCAACCGCATCTCCCAGACTCTCTCAGCAGCTGCTTCCGTTCAGGTTCTGCCAACAGAAGGCATGACGGGAAAACCTGATGGCACTAGGTGGGCAGCAATTGCCCTCAACCCAGTGTTTTTTTTTTTTTACATGGGACACAGTTTTATATATTATTAAGCCACAGACATAAATGAAAAAGATAAGGTTATAATGCCTTTAAAAATAATACAGGAGAGGACTTCCGCCAAGATGGAGGCACAGGTGGTGATGCCGTGCTTTATCCCGCAACCAAGTTGAGAGACAACAAAATGTTAGTAACAGAAAACACAGCCAGAACACAGAAAATTGAACTTTTCGGAAGTCTGATAACAACCAATTCTTCGGCCTGACCGGTAAGAGGGGCGGGGTTGCACAGAAAAACTCGGTCAGACGGACTCAGGCTTGCGGATCCCAGGCGTGGGGTTGCAACGGGCAGACCTAGTAAGCGACCCAGTGAGTGACCAGCGTACCTAGCGAGGGCAGCGGGTTGACTGTGGTCCCGCATTTGTGTGCAAATAGACCAGTGAGGGAGTGGGCCATGAGACAACGGACCGAGCAGGCCCCAGTGGCGAGAGGCAGCAGAGGGGGCCACCATTTCCCCACTCTGACCCTGCCCCCACATACAGTGTCACAACTCAGCGACCTCAGCGGCCCTGCCCTGGTAAACACCTAAGGCTCTGCTCCTCATAATTAACAGGCGCAAACAGACCAAAAATGTCTCAAGAAGGTCTTAAAGCCCCAGAGCCCATAAATCTAAGCAATGAAGAAATAGCAAAACTTTCAGATGCACAGTTCAAAACACTGGTGATCAGGATGCTCATAGAACTGGTTGATTTTAGTCACAAATTAGAGGAACATATGAAGGCTAAACTAATTGAAATGAAGGGAATTGTACAGGAAACCAATAGTGATGAAGAGGAAACTGGGACTCAAATCAAGGGAGTGAACCAGAAGGAAGAAAATAATGGCCAAACAGGAAAATATGAAGAAACAAGAATTCAAAAAAATGAGAAGAGACTTAGGAACCTCCAGGACATCTTTAAACACTCCAACATCCAAATTATAGGGGTACCAGAAGGGGGGAAATGAACAGCCACCAGTGGAAAACTTATTTGAACAAATAATAAAGGAGAATTTCCCCAAGCTGGCAAAGGAAATAGACTTCCAGGAAATCCAGGAAGCTCAGAGAGTCCCAAAGAAGTTGGACCCAAGAAGAAACACACCAAGGCACAATCCTAGAAGCAGCAAGAGATAAGGGGACAGTCACCTACAAAGGAGTTCCCATCAGACTGTCAGCAGATTTCTCAAAAGAGACCCTACAGGCAAGAAGGGGCTGGAAAGAGGTATTCCAAGTCATGAAATCCAAAGACCTACAACCAAGATTACTCTATCCAGCAAAACTTTCATTTAGAATGGAAGGACAGATAAAGTGCTTCTCAGATAAGATCAAATTCAAGAGTTCATCATCACCAAGCCCTTGTGATATGCAATGTTAAAGAAAACGAAGATAAAAAAGATGAACAGTGAAAGGACAGCAAACTCACAGTTATTAAGTACCACACCTAAAACAAAAGCAAACTAAGAGGACAGCTAGATCAGGAGCAGAACCATAGAAATGAAGATCACGTGGAGGGTTAGCAACAGGGGAGTGGGAGAAGGAGAAGGGGGGAGAAGGTACAGAAAATAAGTAGCATAGATGGTAGGTAGAAAATAGACAGGGGGAGGGCAAGAATAGTATGGGAAATATAGACTCTAAAGAACTTGAGACACATGGTCATAAATTAAAGGGGGGGAATGGTGGGGGAGGGACGTGCAGGGTGGAGGGGAATGAAGGGGGGAAATAAAACAACTGTAATGGCATAATTAATAAAATATATTAAAAATAATACAGGAAATATTTCCATGATCTGGGGGTAAGAATTTCTGTTCACAGTCTAGTGCTCCCCCACCGCGCCACACCAGCCAGGGCGGAAGATTTTCTTAAGGCATAAAAAGCATAAAGCAAAAAGGGAAAACTTGATAATTTCACAGAAAATGTAAGAACTGTTCATCAAAAGACAGAACTAAGAATGAAAAGACAATTAGAAAAAAGATATAATTTGTAAAATATATAACCAACAAATGCTGTGTCCATAATACATTAAAAATTCTTATGAATCAGTAAGAAAAAGACTTAAATAGGCACTTTTAAAAAACCTGAAGACTAATAAATATGCAAAAAGTGTTCAATGTCATTAACGATCATGTTAAAATTAATACTATACATGTAACAAGCTAGTTACAATTCAAAAGCATGACAATAGCAGGTACTGGAGAAGGCTGGGTAACAAGAACTCTCATTTACTCCTGGTATGAATGTGCATAGCCCCCTGGAATACATGATATGGTAACAATGAAGACTCACCTGTGAGACTCAGCATTTCTTTCTACTTCTAGATAGACATATACTACAGAAACGTGTTTATGTACACCAGGAATCATGCATAAAATGCAAAAATGGCAGCATTATACATAATGTACAAGGACTGAAGTCAACTCAAATGTCCATGAACAGTATGTTGGCAATATTACGGTACTGTCCTCAAATATACATGAACAAAACTGAATGAGCTATACAAATTCAAACAAACTGCAGCTACAGAGCAACATGGATGAATCTTAAAAACAACCACTGAATGAAGGAAGCCAAATACCAAAACATATACACAGACACATACACACACTTTCTCTCTCTCTCTGATTCCATTTACAAAAAGTTCAAAACCTGGGAAAACAGAATGACCACTTATTTAGGGATGCAGACACAGATAGTAAAACTACAAAGAAAAGTAAACTACCACAGGCCATTAGACAATGGTTACCACCAAGGTGCCAGGCAGGGGAGAAATGGAGCATGGTCCAGATGACCTGGGAGGGGCTCCCAGGGGCTCCCGAGGTGTGGATTTGAAAATCATCTGGGTTGTGGCGATGTGGGTGCTCGTGCTTACCTCCGTATTCTTTAAACTGCATATCTGTATATCACAAACAGTTCTGTGTGTGTATCTCAACTTAAAAATAAGTTTCAATTTAACAGCATCACAGTTGTGAGCATAAACGATCTCTATGCTGTTTGGGAGACAAGGAGAGACTACCTGCCTCGCTTTCCAGAAAAGACACTGAAGCTTGGAGGAGACGTCGATGCTAAAACTGTATCTAGTACCCAAGGTTAGGGTCTTGTCCCTGACTTCAGGGACAAGACTACCCAGATTCTGCCTCCTCAGAGGAGGTGCACAGGAAATGGTGAAGTTGGTAAAAGCTCCCGTCTTAAAAAAAATACTCCAAAGAAGGCTCTTTAAGGCTTCTGGCAAGGACGTTTTATTTTTTGGTTAAAGCCACATTAACAGAAACACCATAAAAACAAACATGTAAACAAGGTATCAGAACTCTGGTTCACTGAGACACCTCACACCCAGAGCATCTGAGGTACAAAGGCACCTGGCTAGGTGCTGGACAACCTGACTGCGGCAGCTGCTCTGACCCAAGATGGCACAGGATGACCAGAAAGGCCGGGACCCAGGCCACCCAGGACCCTCCCCTGTCCGCTTGGTCCACTCCAGACAAACCTTCACTACTCCAAAGACCCGCCTGACAGAGGCTGGAATACAAAGGTGTTTGCCACGTTGAACTTGCAGACAAAGGGCTGTTGGGGCAGGAAGAGGAAGGGTGGGAAAGGATGTCAGTCAACTTCTGTTGATCCACACGGCCTCAAGAACTCCTGTCCTCGTTCATGGAACCACTTATTGGAGACTGTGAACAGACAAAAAGCACGTTACAATCCTGCTGGTTAGGTCAGCCCCCCAAATTCATGACTCCTTCAGGAGGAATCCTGCGCTGGGCCCTTGGATTCAGATGAGAGTACGAAATGGTCTCAGGTCTCAGGCTCAAGAGGAAGCTTAGTGAGGAAGAAAGACATACGTATAAACAGTATGGATAGAGAGAGGTGTGTAAGGTTGCCATAGAAACAGAGCCAAAGGGCATTTAACCACGTGGAGGAAAAAGAGAGCCCAGGCTGGACATGAAGTTTGAATAGGACTTGTCCAGGGAAGAATATGGACAGACCATCATGGTTTCTGTACCAAGGGGGTCCAGGAAGTGGGAACAGGATGAGAACGACATCCAGCATGAACTCCCAGGTGTGTGCTAAGAACCCTGGCCAGGCCGCTACTACTGGAAAATGGCGGGTGGGAAGTGAGGGGCAGGAGATGAGGATGTGGAGGCCTGGCAAGACGGTCAAGGGCCTGGACGTCGCCTCAGGAGCTGTAGGCCAGCGGATCCGACCTCTGTGCCCTGGGTGGCCAAGTGGTCGCCTAAAACTGCCTCAAATCCCCATGAACCACACTTCATTCCTCAACACAGACTCCTCCACAATGAATAAAACAAATTTATTCCAATGTACTACAGAAGGCATAGATCTTTTTTAAAGTGAACTTGTAGTAATACAGGTACTTAGTTGAAAAAATCAAAATGTCTACAAGGCTTACATGATAAACAGCCATCTCCTACCCCTTCCCATCAGCAACCCTGCTTTCGGAGGACATTCGACTTCTTTAGCTGGCTTTCCTGATGATCTGCATTTTCCTAAATAACTTGCGTCTAGGGCAATTTCTTGACTTTCGATTTTGGAATTCTTTTATATGACCCCCTAAAACATACCTATTACCACCTATCTTCCTAATACAGTTAAGTCACAGGTTTTAGTTATATTAATATTTAGTGTTTACATATTGACATGTAAATATTGCTTACACATGAGCTACCTACCACTTCCTTTTTTGTACCACTTTTTCTTTTCCCTGCTCAGCAACCGCCTCATTTTCTTTCTCATTTGTTCAATTTTCTGAGAACCTATCACTATTTATCCCCATAACTCTGTAACAGGACTATAAACTCATCTTTCTGTGATCACTTCCTGTCACACGCTGGTTCAGGCCTCTCCACAGTGCACCCCAGCTGTCTCCAGACACAGCTCAAGCTTTAGCCTCTGTGGTTTGGACCCAGCCTCATCCCCTGGCCCACAGGCCTCCCCTTAGCCAAGTGACAAAGGCAGCCAGTTCCCACAGCCGTGGGGCTGGTTTCAGCCTATGGGTGCCTTGTTCCACATGGGACTTGCTGGCCTGGGACACCCCTGCCCCTCTCTGACTCCCGTCCTCCCCAAGGGCTCCCTCAGAACCCTTGCCAGAGTCCACTGCTCTGGAGAGCCATCCTGGACCTCCGATGCTTGTCCAGCTATTCCTCGGCTCTCTTGGCATCTCTGAGAGTGACCTCAAGTGGCTGTCCTGACATATACCCAGCTCAGTGGACTGCTACATGGCTGGATGGGACTACCAGTTAGCAGGAACAAAAATTTAAAAAAGAAAAAAAGAGACCCAAACACTTCAACAAGAGAGACAGTCTCGGCTTTGTGAAAATCTGGCAGCCATTGTCTCCAGCTCAGGTCTCAGGACGAGCACGAACGCCCAGACCGAGGCCCCCAAGGCCCAACGCCACTCCTCCAGCCACTCACCCCACTTGCAGCCCACAAGCACGGGGCAGGCAGCGTGCCTCGTTCGGTAGTCGCCTTCCCCGCTCCGCAAGAGGTTGTACCAGAAAACTGCTGTGCCCTGGGAAAAGGAGACAGCCCAGCAGACCACCCATCAGAGGCTGGCCAGGGACCTGTCCTGGGCACCAGAGCCCCACCCCGAGCAGAAACGCCCCCAGTGCCCCAGGCACAGGGGGACAGGGCCCTGGAACTCCAGCCACAGACAAGTTCCCCAGAAAGCACCTGCCCCTCCCCGGCTGGTGGGGGTCTGAAAACCTACCTGCTCCTCAGGGGCCTCCCTCCTCACCCCTTCTCCCCTCAGATGAAAGCTGAGGCCACAGGGTCAGAGGTTAGGCAAGAAGGGGCTAAGGCCCCTCCCAGTGAGAGTCAAGTAGGCCAGCGAATGGGACTGGGGGACATGGCGCCCTACTTCAACGTCTGAACCATACAAACCAGAATTTACCTTCTTGGGCCAAATTGCGGCTCCCAGATCAGGAAAGACAGTGGCACCCCCAGCTTCTACGTCGCTCATCTGGGAAGAGAAGGCACAGAGCTTGGACTTCACCCGGGGTGTTCAGAACCACCGAGCCCAGAGGACAGGACGAGGTGAGCAGATGAGCCTCCTCTGAGCAGGCGCAGCGTGGAGGGCGGGGGGAGGGGGGACTCTGCTCCTTGGCCAGCCTTTCAGGGAAGAAGGTTCTTCCCACACCCGACCGCTCCCTCAACCCTGCTGAATCCGCGTGGTTCGTCAGGACGGTCTCCATGCCACGGGCGCTCAACACCTGCAGGCCTGCAGGAGACCCACACCCCGGCAGTCCTCAGACAGGACAACCCAAGTCTGGACTCGGAAGATGCCTGCCGGGCCTCCGCCCCTTGTCCCTGTTCTGCCTGGGCCTTGCCTAAGTCACAACACCCCAGGAGCTGCCCTGATGCTGCCAGTACCGCCCGTGGCCCCACTGTGGGCTGTTTCTCTGGCTGTAAAAACATGTTGCTTTAGTTAGTTCCTCACCTCCCCAGAACAGCGCCTTGGCCAGGGCCGTCTGGGTGGACAGGCAGGGCACCATCTCTGCCGAGCCCTGCTTCCTGCCATGGCGAGCAAACTAAACAGAACAGGAGTTCCTGGCAGGGAGGCAGCACTCCTGCCCAGAGTGCACCTCGACCAGCGCCCGCAGCGCCCGCAGCGCCACTGCTCCCTCCTCTGGCTCTCCCCTTTTTCCTCCAATGCAGTACCATTTGCAGCTAATAAGTATTTCCACAGGACACATACCAGACAGACTGACGGGTCCTTGACAGGCATGGAAAATGAACCAGATGAAAACCCCCGGTGGCCACAGCCCCAGGGGTCAGATCCAGCCTCTTCTCTAGAACCCAAAAGCCCCGTCGGGCCACCAGCCTCTCCCTCCAGCCCTTCTCTGAGCCTCCAGCCTGCTGCTGTTTTTCCAACATCCCACACTCTTTCCCTCTTCCAAGTCTCCACACACTCTCCTCTGCCAGAAACCAAGCTCCACCAACTAATTTCCCCTCCACCTTCAAGTCCTGACATTGACATGTTCTTCCCCAGGGAGGCCTTCTCTGAACACCAACCCTGAGCTACTGGCTTCAAAGCACCCGTCGCCATGGTAACGAGACAGTTACCTCTCCTGTGTTTAATACGGGCCTCTCATCTTAGACCATCCGCCTCCCCAGACAGACCACACATGTCCTGCTCACCAGCGTGTTCATGGCAGTCCCCGGCACATAAAAGCCATGTAATAAAAAGCTTAAATGAGCCCTGGCTGGGTTGCTCAGTGGGTTGGAGCATTGTCCCACACACCAAAGGGTTGTGGGTTCGATCCCCAGTCAGGGTGTGTAGGGGAGGCAACAGATCGATGTTTCTCTCTCTCTCTCTCAAACCATTAGACACATTCTCAGGTAAGGATTAAAAGAAACTAGAGGAAAAAATGGACATAGGCCTCTGTCTCTAAGTTTCCTGACAGCTTCTCAGTCTCCCTGGGGCTGGCTGTCTCAGCAGAGGGGAGAGAGAACTGTCGCTCACGTGACAGAAAAACCCAACAGCCCGAGGCCGGGGCACACGTTAGCTGGTGGGAGGCAGGACAGCAAGTCTGGGAGGAAAGGCAGCTTCCATCTGAGAGCACCTCGTGGCTACGTCCTCACTCTGCTGCCGAGGACGGAACCTTCCAGGGCACCCACCTAAAAATTCCAAACCAGCACCAGGCCCATCAATAAGGAAGATGTGAAGGTGCTGGGGGTCAGGGGTGGGGGGAGCGAGCCCACAGATGGGAAAAAAAGGACAAGAAGGGCGCAGAGGGCCAGGAGGGCCCAGCCTTTGAGCACCGCTGCTGGTATCGGCCCCGACAGGAGGGAGAGGGGAGAGCTTGCTGGACCCAGGCTCCCCTCAGGCCCACACACCTCACACATCGTACTCACGTAGTTTAAGAATGTGGCCACACGGTTCCCCGTCCCTAAATGCTTGAAAACATCTTGCTCATCGTTCTATAAAATCAAGTGAGAGTGAACAGGGGGTCCTGGACCCGATACTTACATAGTTAAGAAACGTGGCTAACCTATTCCCCTCTGTTTTGAGGCCGCTGTCAAAAGGTCGCTGCAACAAACAACAACTTTCACCCAGGTTTGCAACTGACTTCACCCACCATCCCCCACCCCCGCACTGGGACAAAAAGGGTCGGGGATTGTAATAAGTGCGCATTTCATCCATCGGCCTGGACCACGGACCAAGTAAACCCAGGCAGGACACGGGGAGAGGGCGGGAAGAGCTTCCGCAGAGACCCAGTGGGTCCTCTGCTGTAGAGTTGAAAGAAAAGACAGCAGAGTGGGCAGGAGGAACGTTCCCCACATCACAGGGGAAACGGCCAGGCCTCCCTGGGCTCACAGGCCTCGGCCTCCAGAGTGGGGCCCCTCTGATAACAAGGAGCGGCCCTGGTGAGGTGAGGGGAGCCTGCTGTGGAGGCTAAAGCGCTTCTAGGAACTCCAGCCTTCTCACACCGGCTGGAACCGGGCCCTTTGCAAGCAGCGGTGACTTGGGTGGCTTGGGCCTTACCCGGGAGAAGTCAAAATGCGGCTCGTACTGTCCTCCCATTCCGTAATTAGCAACCTGGTGGGAAACAACAGCATTGACCTTGTCAGCAGCATGAACAGCCCTGAAGCAGCCCCTCTCTCAGGGGTGCTGTCTTCCCAGGTAACAACTAGAACACCTGAACCCCCAAACAACCAGAAGCCCCAAGACCAGCCTCTCTAAGGTGGAAGGTAACTATGCCTGGCCAGCACCGGCAGAGCGACGCTGCCGGCAAGTCTACAGCGGGGGAAGAGTAAGGCTGCAGCACAAATGTGGTTTCCCAGAGCAAGATGGGCCACCTGCGCGTGGCCACTGCAGAGAAGCTCCAGCCCTTCAGGGACACTCAGATGGCAGCAGAGGGAGCCCTTGAGACAGGCTGTGGCCTGAGCCCTGTTTGTTTGGGAGATAATGAGAAGGTAATCCAGAGGAAAGTCAACAACAAACTCATGATTGGGACTCTTTTCTTAAATGCTAGTTTGGGAGCTTCTCAGTGCCTGGCACTGCCCCTGCCACATCCACCAGCGTGCCACAGGAGCTGCTCCTGGCCGTGCTGCGCGGGCTGACAGAGCCTCCACCCCACAGCGGCCTGCTGCCTGCGGGACTTCTGTCCCCGAGGGCAGCAGTAGGACCTGGGCGGCAGCTGCAGGGCGGCAGCTCTGGCCGCCCTACCTCCGCACCTCCAGCAGGAGCCTGGCCCTGAACAGGACCTGGGCCACCTCTGCTGCAGCAGCTACCCGGTGTCAATCATTGGATTAGAAATTGTAAGTGCCTTTGTGAACAGTTTATCAGCACAAGGTAAGTCCCAAATCACAATGGTTATTTTAGCTTCAGTAGACAGAGAGATGATGTTCAAGATGAAATTCAGAATCTGATATGAACGCTGGCTGATGAAGCGGCACCACCAAAGTCCACCTAGGAACACTTCCTGAAACCTAAAAACTTGTGGGGCTCAGCTATTAGTCCTCAGAAAATGGGCACTTTTAGTGGATCCTTCTGAGTATTTCCAACCATCAGATGAGAAATGCTGCGGCACTGGCAACAGGGAGGCCAGGAGGGAAGGCAAGGGGGCGGACTTCACCACAGAGAACCCTCCTGCGGGGGCCCAGACAGAATCTGTCTCATGCGATAGTTCTATCGTTCAAAGTGCAGACACTGGGCAGCACGGCTTTCAGTCTTCCCCAAAATAAAAACCTTGACGTGGAGAATCGGGGGATGAACAAACGCAGTCACCCACGGCGTCAGCCTCCAAGATGCCCATACCAAACCCCCGGGCACCCTGTGAATGGAGCAGGAGGCCCGGCTCCACGGCTGGCCCGCAGGTGAGAGGCACCTCTGCGGAGGGAAGTGCTGGAGCGGATGACGAAACGACTGCACCAAGGCTGTCTCTGTGGCTCCACTCAGGTCAAGAACTTAAAGCAATTTAAACATGACCGTGCTTGCTGTGCTGCTGCGCCGGGGAAGGTGCCAGCGCTGCACACTGCTCTGCTGGCTGCTGGGGCTGTGGGGTACAGGCTGCACCCCCAATGCTCCCACGTGTTGGGGGGGTGCTTACACATTCAATTCCCAGGTAGTGAAAGAAGCTGCGCTGCCCCAGCTGGTCTGTCTTTTCAACTGGAGACCCACATGTGGTCATGGGGCCGAAGCCCTGGGACCTACACTCTCCAACACCAGTGCCAGTGCCACGAAACTGCCGGATTTGCTGCCATCTGACTCACCGTCTGGGCGAGCTTCAGTCCCCAGGCTCACACCTTTAATCACAAGCAACTGCACATCCAAACTGATTCCTGGGAGCAGGTGTTCACTTGAACCTTCCGATTTGTTGTTGCAAAAGTAGAAGAGCAGTTGTGGGGGAGAGGGGTTTTTATGATGCTGAGATACGAGTGAGGCCAAAAATAGTTAGAGATCGCTTTTTTGGTGAGACTGAGACATCGAGTCAGAAACGTCTTCCGCCTTACAGAATTCTAGCAGTGCAACCTCTATCTGGCCCTCCCCCAATTCACAAGAAAACCTCACCTGCCCCTTTTTCTTCTAAATGATCTAGAGCAAACCCATCAACTACAGCGGAAGGAGCATGAACAGGCGGCCGAAGAACGGGGCCCTGTCCAGAAGCCTGCAGCGCCCCCACAGGCACCGAGCGTGCGTTCATCACACTGCAACAAGCCCTCCGTGTGGGACAAGCAATTAGAGGCAGGCACCAAAGTCCACGCCCCTGTCCCCCGGACAAGGTGGGACCAAAGCCTCAACACCGCTGGCCAGCTGTGGGAAGGCCAAGGCAGCACCTGGAGGTAAAGCAGACAGAGCTGGTGTCTCGGCCCCCGCGGCGGTCTGGGTCATCCAGAAGAGCCCTGACTACCTCCGGCACTCAGGCTCCACCACCCGCTGAGCAACAACACAACAAGAGGCCAGGCAAGGCGAAGCTGGTCCAAGAGCAAAGAAGCCGCCTTCTGGGGCTGTGAGTGAGACAGAGCACAGAGGGTACAGCTGGGAGGCCAGCCAGGAGGGCGGCCGGGCCACAGGTGCTGTCCCCTCTTCTCAGCAACCTCAGCCCAGGGTGTGGGATCAGCCCATCCAGCAAAAAAGTACGGCTCCCTGGTCAGGACCATGAGAGTCCTGACATCAGCTCTGATGCGCAAGAAGCAGTGGCAGGTACCTTAACGACAACGAAAACCCTGCCCAGGTGATGGGAGTCACAACAGAGACCACTGGGGTGCAGAATGCACCTAGCACACCGAGAGCCCCGTTTCTCTTGAGAGGGCAGGGTTCTCACACACAGGAAGGAAGTGGGAAGTGCGGCAAACTCCTCTATCTGTGAGTGTCTGCAGAACTTAAAAATCTGTTGAGAACTAAGATGAGCTGCACTGAAAAGACTACAGACCGTTTTCACAAGACTGTCTTTAAGGTAATCAGCATGTTTTTTAAAACCTGTGGTTGACTTTGCACAAATCCATAAAGATGACCTTCAAATTTGGTTTTCTGATTGCTGACACAGCTACAGACTAAAGCAGGAGAGAGGGAGCAGGGAGGGGGGAACAGAAAGAGAAAGAAAGAAAGAGAGTGAGCGAGCACGCCGATTTGCTTGGGAGTGTCTAGGCACAAATCAGAGACTCTTTACCAAGTAGCCTTCAGTGCCGTGTTCTAATGAAAGTTGCAGTTAATCAGACCCAAAGGCCAAGCCTCAAGGCGAAGGGCGAGATCCCCGAACACGCAGAAACTCTGGCTGGACAGATCCAGGAGACTCTACAAAACGCCAGGGAAGCTTCTCCAACAGTGTCTCAGGCCATCGCTTTACAACAGAACCAGAGGCTCCCACATTCAGAAGGTGGCCAGTGCCGACTTGAACTCAACAGTCTGAGGCTCATCATCAGGAGCTTCACCCCGAACCTGTCAGCAGTGCGGCCACAAGTCTTCACAATCACCTTTGAAACACTGGGAGCCGAGGGCCCACGGTCCAAGCTCTCACTTCTAGTAACACACCCAGGAACACTTCCCCCCCACGCACACTGGACCAGGACTCAGCACCCACCCTCTGAAGTCGTTTACAGTTCTCGCAGAGGTGTCCCCGGAACGGCTCAGCATTTCCGTGTCTATAGAAGATACCAACAGGCCTGCCACGCCTGGCTCCCAGTAGGACACTGGGCACACAGGGTAATCGACAGTTGCTCACTGTAGCTGTTGAGTGCCAGCGGGCATGCTTAATTAACTCTGGCTCCCCAAAGTGAGGTCACTTCACAGTCACAGCATTATACAGTCATTTTGTTTATTGGACAAGCCTCCCTAAGCCTGTCCCTGGGCACCATGGGGGACCATCTAGCCAGACACACTGACTCCTAACGCAGGGTCCCAGGGACCAGCCATACCTGCAGCAATTCTGCGGTCTTTACTGTTAGCCCTGTGATGTGCTGCATCCGGCGGTTCACTCGTGCCACCACGGGATCATCGCCCTCCTCCAGCCAGGAGCTGAGCAAAAGAGGGAGAGAAGGAGAGGGAGAGAAGACAGGTGAGGCCCTGCACTCTCTCCCCAGAGTCAGGGCTGGCATTAACAGGCAGCATGGGGACTGCTGTAAGCAGGGGAGGTGCCAGCAGGTAGGACAGGCCAAGCCGCCCTCCCCTAGGACTCCCTGGGTGGGGACTGGGAGGCCCTGGAGCTGGGCTTGAGCCGTTGTCCCGCCACCGTCACCTTTGCTGACCTTTTGGAAACCCTGTAGCTGGCCACGGTGAGGATGCCTGTCTTGGGATCTCGAACAGTGGCTCGTGCGAGCTGGAAGGCAGGAAGGGAGGGCAGACTTATCCTTCTTTGCCTTGAGTGCTTTCCTGGAGAGACTGGGACTGGATTTGCCAGTCAGGCCAGTGCGGGAAGAAGCTTTGCAGGCAGTGGCTCCAGCCACAGCCCTGTGATCCGGAAGCCAGGCCAGCTAGTCATCTGAGGCTTCCCCATCCCTGCTCCATGGTCAGGCCCTGCAGCCTGCTCTCACCCAGGTCCATGCCGTCTGCAGGACAGTGCCTACAGAGTCTGCTTGTCCATCTGCCCATCTGCCCAGACAGCTGCCTTCCTCACCAGGCCCACGCACCACCATCCTCCCCCCCAGCACAGCCTGCACTGGCTACTCCCTCCCCCGCCCCACCTTCAAACAATGCCACCATCCCTGAGTCTCAGCTCTGCACGCTCCTCTGGACCTGGTCAAGTCCATAGCCCTTCCCAACCTCGGGGGCCCCCTGTGCCAAGACACATGTACAAAGGCTCTTCTGCCGCCCCAGCGGGCACTGGCTCCACTGCACAGGAGCAGAGACAGGAGGCGCAGCATCCGCCTCACTGGGAGAAGTCTCCAAGGTCAGACAGCAGGGTCAGGACAGGAAGTTCTACACGTGGAACCAAATGAACTGCTGCCAGGAAGCCAGACACCTCACCCACCTCGTCACACACACGCGTGCCCCTCGCCTACCTCACCTCCCCCAGGCTTCACAGGCAGGTGCAGTGATGTACTCCCGGGGGGACCTGCTGCCTGGACCGGGCCCCCAGTGCTTCGGCCATGGACCGTCCCAATGAACTCACACAGCTGGGACCACAGACCAGGATACCCCCACCTCGATAGCACCTGCCCTGAACTTCAGTAAGCACTTACTGGGTGCCTCCTACATGCCTGGCACTGCACTGGGTGACCAAGGCATGGCACCTGCCCTCCTACAACTCAGTCAAGTGAGGAGGGCTGAGAACCAGCTGGGTGACTGCCGCACAGCGTGAATCCGGATACAGACTTGCAGCCAAGGAGAAAAAGGGAAGGCTGTACGCAGGGGAGGGACACTCACAACCTGAATGTAAGAAGGGTTCTCGTGGAAAGTTGACTAAGGCGGGCCAGAGTGGGAACGAGGGGCCAGTGAGAAGGTCGAGGCAGAAGGCAGGGCAGGGGGTGATGGCAGCCCAGGTGGGGCTGGCAGAGGGATGGTGAGGAGAAGGTGGACCAGAGGCTGGTCGGGAGGTGGGACCAGCTCGGACACCACGCCGCTGCTCTAGCACCTTCTGGTGGGATGGCCAGCACGCTCAGGACAGAGGGCTCCTCCCTGATGGCAGCCATAGCCACCACAAGACCCCGTCAAAGCACCAGGGCCCCGCTTCTGGCCAGACGCCCGCGGGAGGCTCTGGGCAGCTGTGCTCTGCTCCCGAGGACAGACAGAGCTATTCTGAAAACAGACTGGGGACTCAAAGGCAGCTGCCGAGCACTCCCCGTGGGCCGAGTTAAGCTTGTCGGCCCCACTTCAAAGCCGGCACAGCATCTGCCCCTTGGAGGCTCCGGAAGAGGAGAGGTCACCGTGTTTAGCTCTTTGCGTGGCTTCTGTTCACAGACAAGTTTTCCCAGCACCACCCCCACCGCCCTCACCACGCACATGCACACAGGCACCACCCCCACCCCTTTCCCACACACGTGTGTGCGCACACAGAAATGCCTCGCTGCCTGGGTCTAAGGGACTTATGAGGAATTTCTCAGGAGATTCTGACATACGACGCCTCACTCACTGGGCAACCAGGAGCGTGGTTTTCTCCCCTGGAGGCCGTGGAGCTGACCCGGGGGTGTGAAGCAGTAGGTCCTAGTCCCCATTCTCCACACACACTGGCTAGACGCACCCCCACCCCTTGGCCATGTCGGTGACACAACTGACTCTGGCACCTCCAACCAAGGTCGTTCCAAGATGAGACCTGGGGGCCAGGGCAGGAACCTCGCTTAGGTCTCTCCCTGAGCACCAGTTCCATGAGGGGCAGAACCCTCCCTGCCGATCACCAGTTGACAGAGCGGGGAGGGGAGATGGCGGCAAGCAGTTCTCTTTGGAAGACGTCAACTCTTTCAAATCTCTTATGCACTAGAAATAGAAGAATAACTTCATAACATGAAGACAGATATGCAACAAACCAGTAGCCAACTGCACATACAGCAGTGAAATACCAGAGGCGTTTTCAGGGAGTTCAGGAACAAGACAGGGCACCTCTTGTATCAGTGATCCAGAAGTTTGGGGCAGCTCAGTAGGACACGAAAAACAGAAGAGCTATAACTATTAAGAAGGAGACAATTTTTTTCTTATTTGCAGGTGATACTACTGTCTGAACAGCCCAAGAGAATCGGCTACAACCAGAAGAGGAGTGAGTTCAGCGACGAGCTGGGATGGGCACGAGTCTCCATTTCCTCCTGGGGCAGGGGGATGAGCGCGACGGCACAGCCTGCTTACTGTCACCGTATGCGTTGAGCACTCAGCACGGGGCCTGCTGCACTTAAGAACTCTGTAAATATTAGCTATTACTAGGAAACATCCTTCTACACTCAACAGTTTAGCCTACAGTAATGTAACCGGGAAAAGTACAGCAATGGAGAAACAGAGCGAAGCTACAGGAACAAAACACCTGCCCAGGAGCAGATGCCATGAGGCGCGTGCAGGGCCTCCTGCAGACAGTGTTAAGAGAGACGAATCCATGACGATGCCCAAGGTGGAGGAGGAGGTTTGACATGGCAGAGACGTTCTTTCTCCCCCTTTGCCAGCCTGACCAGGAGCTCTCCAAGACCCAGCCGGGTGGCGCCCTATGGCATACCTCCTGAAAACTCGTCTCCACACCCCGGCCCCCACAGGGGGGCGACACTCAGCCCTGTGGGCCTTCGCTGGCCCTGGCTGTCCTCGTCAGCTCCTCGGCTCTCTCCCTCACCGGCCCACGAGGTCAAACTGAGTCTGCAGCTCCTAGTACCCCACCCCACAGTGGACTCATGCTAGAGACCGGCCAAGGCCAGCTGGGGGCGGACACACTGCCCCGCGGTACCAGGGATGAGTAACCCGAGAGGGACCTGCAGAGACACCTACTTTGGGTTTCGCGAGCTCCTTGATCCTCTGGATCTCCTCGTCGGACATGACATCGTAGTACCTGACGATGTGCGGGCTGTCCCACTCGTCCTCCTCCTTGAAGGGGGCGATGAGCAGCTGGGGCGTCCCGTGGCCGTGGTGGTACCTACAGAAAAGCCTCTTCTGCCTCTGGGGTGTCTGCAGAGCACAGAGCAACAGGCCCCGAGCTGAGCGGGGCCCCAGCCCTCCACCCCAGGCTGGCTGGCTGCAGACGCTGGACTCACACCCCGTGCCCAGCAGCTGCTCCCCCCGCCCCCTCCCCACAGAAGAAATCGAAAGCCTCTCAGCTTGACTGGCATAAAATGATACCTCACACATCAGGCGATGTTTCTCTTTCCCCAGAGTACCACTGGGCTCTGTGGCAGAGGGTTTAACCCTGACCTTTCTCACAGAGATGTGAGTAGGTTTAAAGGGCTGGGGCGGGGGAGTCCCCGGGAGGAGGGGCCAGTGAGGGCCAAGCAGTTGGCCTGGAGGCTGCAGGCAGACTGCCTCACACCTGAGCCTCCTGGTGGGAGCCTGGGGACCCCAGGGCTCTCAAAGGCCAGTGAGACCTGACACCCGACTGTCCTACAGAGCCCACAACTTCCCCTGGGGACTGAGGAATGGCCACACCCAGGGTTTTCTTCCCAAGAGTGACTTGGGCAGAAGCTGGCATGCTGGGGTAGGGAGGGGGCTCAGGAATAACTTAGAGAATTGAAAGTCTCCCTGGGACAGGAGGGGAGAAAGTCTCCTGTCCTACACCTCAAAGAACGCCCACACACCAGCCTCCGCAGACACTACGAAGGACTAGGGAAGATGCTGAAAAGTAACCCACAGCGGAACATCCTCCCCAAATCTGCCTTCCAGAGTCGGAGCGTCGGTCCACAGCCTGAGCTCCAGGCCCGCCCGCGGGTCTCACCAGTTTGACACCCTCCCCACGACAGAGGCTCTCATAGACATCCCTCTCGGGCAGGTAGTCCGAGGGCCTCTCGTAGATGCTGTCCTGGGTCTCCTGCTCAGCTTTGGTCTGATTTGATACCATTTTCTCTCTTTCTTCCTCCAACAACTGTTCAAAGTATCGCAGATTCCCTCCAGCTCGTTCATGGCTCGGGTCTAGAAAAAGCAAAGAACAAGGAGGAAAAGGAAACCACAAACATCTGTTAGGTCATTTAGAGAAATTATTCTATAAGCGGTTTTCCCTCCCAGCAGCACACTTGCACGCAGCCTCTGCCTTCCACGGCACCTAACTGGGTTCAAGAGTCATGGTGAAAAAGACAACAGACGTTCTCCCATTCTGGCCACTGATGAGAAAAAGGCAATGAAGGCACATGGCGGGCGAGAAAGGCTGGGGAGGGACACTTAGCTGGTCACTGAGGGGGCTGTCCTCTCAGGCCTCCCTGTGTCCCAAGGACACAAGTCCAGAGTCCTGCCTCCTGCCCCCAACTTGGCTGTGTGCCAGTTACATTTGTCCCCTAAGGCACATCCATCCCTGGTGACCCCATCACAAGCTGGCCCCAGCTAGAAGGCAGGCTGAAACGGTGGCCACGAAGAACAGCAGCGTGGCACTGCCCCGGCCTCACCGTGCGGGCCTCACAACACGAAGGAGCCAGGATCACTGTGCCCCTTCTTGGATGAAAACACGGAGGCCCAGGGGTTCCCTGACTCCCTGTCCAAAGTGCTTACTGACATGACAGAATCTATAAATCTCTCTTCCCACATCGGTCTTGCTGGACACATGCATGCTAATGGACATCAGACTCACAAGAAGTATTTCCAGACTGTGATATTCCATCTGTTACTAAAAGGCAGAGCAGATGGTTTTAAAAACACAGTGCTTTTGACCCCATTAGTCCCACAGCATGAAACACATTAGCCACCAGAGCCAGGGCAAGGCCACCAGGTAGCCGGGCAGGCCTATGCACAAGGGTTGGGTTATTGTCACCGCGGCAGCCCTGACACACAGCTTGCTCTGAGCTGGCTTCGGGGGAGACTCTGTCCTGCAGAACAGCAGGTACACTGTGGCACTGACTCCTAGACAACAGTCCCAGGGGTCACAGGCCTCAGTGTGCCCATTAGTGACAGGCCAGATCTGAGTTGGTTAAGGAGCTAGCTGGCAGCTGGACTGGGTCTGAAAGCAGTAAGGCATTTGTCACCGGTCAGTCAGGTTGGCTCAGTCCTGGGAAAATGGCCAGGTGGTAGTCAGCAGAGTGACCAGTTCTCCTGCCAGCTGCCAATCCCCACCTGACCTTCCCTAGAACGTCCTTACCAAGAGACAGCAGGCGGCGGGTGAGCTCCAGGGCGCGGTGCAGGTCACCCAACTGGAAGACGGCATAGCTCAGGTAGTCCAGCACCTGGGCCTTGGTGCTGACGGCCTCTTGCCCAGCATCGAGTTGCTTCAGCACCTGCTCCATCCATAGCACCGTGTGGTAATAGTCCCCGTCATTGTAGGCCGAGCGACCCATCCCAAAGCAGTCATCTGCACTCATCACTGCCTGGTACTTGGTTCCTGCAGCAGGCGAGGCAAACAGGCTCTAGGGAGCCTCCCACACCGAGGAGGCCTGGGTCACTGGCAGGGGACATCAGCCAGCAGAGCCTGACCAGGACTTCAGACTATACACCTCAAAAGGCCACTGGTACCGTGAGCACAGCCAGGCTGGCCCTACCATGGGCTGTGGCTCACAGCTGACCTCCAAGCCTCAGACGCCCCTCTGTTGAGTGGGACAGGGCCTTTGATACAGAGAAGCCCGGGAAGCCCACCAAGAAGTAGTTTTCGGGAGAATATGAAGGTCCTGTGAGCCATGCAGCAGATGTCTGTGCGCAGCTGGAAGTGTGAGGCTGGAGGGTAAAAAAATTAGTTGAATATAAAAAACAGAACCTAGCTGGCATCTAAAGCCATGGACGAGGATAAGTGCTTCCAGGAGAAGTCTGAGGAAAGAGCAGACAAGGTGGCTGAGACCAGGGCCCCAGAGGGCACCTGTACAAAAAGGACAGAGGGAGAATAGCAACACTGAGAGGACCTCACAGGTCAAAGAAACAGGAGGAGCAGGAGCCATGAGACACCAAGGGAGGCCAAGAGCCAAGCTGCAGTGCCGGCTTTGGCCGTTAGGTGGCAGGGACCTTGCTGAGCATCTGCTGCTCCCTGAGCCCTGGAAAATGCCCATGAAGAGAGTTTCAAATCAACATGAGGTGTGTCAACTCTGGGGAGATGCAGGCTTTAAGGTGGTGGCAAGGTGGGAGGGGCCGTGAGTGTGTCCCTCAGAGAACCCTGGAAGCAGGTCCCAGGGAGAGCAAGAAGAGCTGTGACCCCTGCCCTGGAAAACAAGGGCACCTCCCTACAGCCCTGCTACCAGTAACTGGGTCTGGCTGACATGGAGGAGCTGCCTCTGAGGCGGCTCTTCCTGCCCAATGTCCAAGATGGGGCTCTGCATGGAAGGGAACCCCCGCTGTGATGGGCAGGCCACTTCACAGACCAGAGTCTGCTCGTCCTGGGGGCTCAGGAACAATGTAGAACAGGGAGCTGAGGACGAGAGGAGTTAGCAAGCAGACCAGAGATTATGGGGTTCCTTGAGCCCCCATCCACACGCCATGGGCTCCCATGAGCTCCTCTGGCTCTGGGGGCCCAGGAACCCGCGCTGCCAGAGGCAGTGTGATGCAGCTGAGCAAGCTGGAGCTCTGGGTGTAGATCAGGGCGGCTTTCACTACGGACAAGTTGCTTAGCCTCTCTGAGTCGTAGTCCCCTTATCTCTAAATAGAGACAATACCATCAATTTTGGTGCCTGTATCATGGCTCCTGCTCCTCCTGTTTCTTTTACCAATGGCAAGAATTCAAAGAGATGATGTATGAAGAGATCTCCCATGGTCCCCAGGATGCTAACAATCCACAGCTATTATCAACATGTCTCACAGATGCAAGAAGGTCACAAATGGTCACCAGACACTCAGCATCCTCCCCAAAAGCCAACTCAAATATCTATCCACCAGAGAGTACCAGCTGAGCTGGCTGTGAGCCGGGGGGCAACCAGACAGGAGGCCTGCTGGCATGGGTAAGGGATTCCTGCAAGGGCACGGGGTGAGCAAAGGAGCTGAGTGGTGTGGAAGCCTAATCCAACCAATGGGCAAAGAGGCCAGTGAGACAAGGTCACGCAGGACCCCAAAGACCACGCATAAGAGGAGTTTAGGTAGAGCCCTGAAAGTTAAGTGCTGTGATCCAGAACTCACATAAAGAGACGAGTGTCTCAGACCACATGGCGCGCCCTGCTAGGGTGGCTCAGTAGCGTCGTCCCGTACACCAAAAGGTTGTGGGTTCCATTCCCGGTCAGGGCACATACAGGAGGCAACTAATCAATGTTTCTTTCTCTTTCTTTTTTTTCCTCTCTCTCCTCCTCCCTCTATCCCTCTCCCTCTCTCTCTCTCTCTCAAATCAATAAACATATCCTCAGGTGAGGATAAAAAAAAAAGACCACATGGTAGATGATTTTTAGGGCTGAGCCGGAGGTACGCAAGTCACAATGGTATTTCAGTGACCCCATGAGAAAGAAGTGATCACGGAGCTGGAGTCAGGGCCTCCTGTACTCTGAGCTACACTGTCTCGGATCAGAGCCTCCGGGCACAGAAGACATTAGGGAGGTGGAATCTCCAGGCCTTAGGATTCTGGCGTGGGCAGCCAATGAATGGAGGTGCTCTTCCTGAGATAAGGGGTGAAGGAGATGGGAAGAGAGCTCAGAAAGGGGCAAAGATTTCAGTTTGGGACATGTGAATTCTGAGGAGCCCAATGAAACATCCAAGCAGAGCGGTCCCATAGGCCTTTGTCTGCACTGGCTGGAAGCTCAGGGGTCAAGTCAGATCTGATGTCATCCAGGTACAGGTATACCGTGAGTGATGGAAAGGGCTGGGCTCACCTGGGGAAGGTGAGCAGGGAGACCATGAACTGGGGTGGAATCTTAGGAAGTAACTCCCTTCCACCCCGGGCTCCTCCAGGACGCACACGGGACTGCTAACTGCAGTAAAAGACCGCTGCCTGGGCATGGCTGCAGACTGGGGGCTCTTCCACCAATCGCCTCGTAGCTACGGGGCGAGCTGATCTTGCAGGTGCCCCTAGCTGCCTTCTCCCTCTGGCCTCGTGGCCTGGTTGGTCGCAGACCTGACCGAGGCAAGAATAAGGGGAAGTCCACGCCCACAGTGCTGGTTCACAGGCTCCTCAGTACCAGAGCTTTAGGCCAACGACAGAGAGCCTCCTTCTCCCACAGACCATGATTCCTTTGCTAGTACTTCCTCCAGGGACTCCCAAGGGTACCCAAGGTTTAATGGGGTCTAACTGAATCCCTGAATTTTTGGCCTCTAACAGCCCTCTCCAAACCCCAGATATATTCTTATAAATACATTGGAGCAGTCAGTGGGAAAGGGGCCTGTGGGGGGAAAAATGAGAGATAGAGATTTAAATTGAGAGAATATAACCATAGATGCCAAAGAAGAAACAGCCAAGATCAGTGTCCCAGAACTCAAAGGAGGGAGAATATCAGAAAGAAAGGAGCTATCGGCGTGCCAAACGCTGCAGAAAGTTAAAGAACATTATGTCTGAACCTGTCCTTGGTTTTAGCAGCTGCCTGGCCCCTGGTGACCTTCCGGCGGCAGGCTTGGCGGATGGGAGTCAGTGGGGAGGGGCAGCCTTTGTGCGTTCAGGAGGGCCTGGGAATCAAGGAAGTGGAGGGAGACTGTTCTGCAGCCTCACCAGGGGGAGGAAGAGCTCTGTGAACAGCAGACACTCAAAAGGGCCTTTGACCCTGAGGGCGAGTTTGTAAGGCCAGCGAGAACGGAGCCTGTGTGTAAGCCCAGGGGTAGAGCCCAGAGAGGTCCTCGCAGAAGGAATGGGGCAGGGACTGCAGCTGAGGGCAAACAGGACACGGCTGTGAGTCAAGAGAGCAGACCTGGACAGGAAGAGACCAAAGGGAGCGGGAGGGATGGGGGTCCGAGTGCTGTACTGGGGACAATGCCAAGGGAGTCCTGAGCAGCAGCCTCGGCTTTCCCTGAGACTCGACTAGGAGAGGAACTTGACTCATACAGGGAGGGCAGCTGCAGGGACAGGCTCTGGGGAGGTGACTCTCATGGGAAGGGGGACTGGCACCAACTGGAAACCCGAGAGCCTCACTGCCAGAGGTGACTCGGCACCGGGCAGCAGAGACCACAGGGGGCCGTGGCTCCAGCCCTGCCCAGACACTGCAGCAGAATCACAGGCTGAACAGGCAAAGCCCGGAGTGGCGAGTTACCTGGAAGTTCCCCTTTGGAAATCGTGTCTGAATCCAGCTTGTATGTGTCCTGAAGCCTCATCAGGGCCTTGGCGGCTCCCATTTCATCCTCATCAGTAGGGAAGAACTGTCGCTGAATTGAGAGGTTGGCAATAAAACCTTCCAAATGAGAGAGTGAGAGCAAGAGGTTACCCTTGACCCAGGGGAGGAATGCCACCTGGGACCACAGAGGTCCTCACTGGAGGGTCTCTGCCTAGTGCAGGTTCCCTGCCACCAGGAAGCTGTCCCGATGGCTCCTCCATGGAGACCTCTCTCTTCTCACCCCTCACTGTACCCACTGCCAGTGCTACTCACTGGGACCTGGATAGAAATGGCTCCACACTTTGGTTAGCAGGTGGGAGTCTTGGCTCCAAAGGACTCAGCTGGACCAGTGGAGATAACAGGGACAGAGAGGCTAACTGCAAGGCACAGAGAGGACTGAGGAAGACTTGCTGACCACTCAGTGGGAAATGACTCACATGGAAAACCTCGACCCAGGATTACTGGGTTGACCAGGTAAACATAGACTTCTAGCCCACATCTCAAGCCAAGGAGCCTAAGGGACAGAGGTAGTTAACTCAGGGAGCCCAGTTGGCCACTCACCACTGACCACTGGCCCTTATCATCCAGAACAGTGAGGACGATAGTCCTGGAGGCATCTGGCACTGTCTGCACCCCCTCGATTAGGGGCCAGGACTCCATGTGGCCAGGCCCAGCAGGTGAGGCTGCACCAGCCTAGCACGGTCCCCTGAGAGACTACACTGGGCCTTGCTCTGCTCTCTAGGTACCCCCCACCACTCAAACCTGCTATGACCTCAGGGTAGGAGCTCCCCAACTGTGCCATTCAAGACCACAGCCTGGAGGGTGGGAGAACCCCTGACCTTAGAGAACCCCAAGGAAGCTGTTCTGGGACTCTAAGTCCACTGTAAAGCAAGATGTGCACCTCTTGCAGTCTCAGGGCTCCAGGAGGGGGTCAGCCTCACCATGAGGATTCAGAAGCTGCAATTCTGCCCATGAGCTGGGAGCTGGGAGCTGGGAGGGGAGCTCCGGAGCCGTTCATCTCCAGCCACACTGCTCCCCAGAGTGGCAGCACCCACAGCCACCTACCCTCACGACTCCAGCTCACACACCCACTTTCACCCATGCCTGGGAACCCAGGGGCCAAGATGCTGCCATGCTGTCTTCCTCCTGACTGTGTGGCCAGGGACCCTAAAGAGTTTTACAATCCAGGAAAAAGAAAACACACCCCAGAAAAAGCCACATATCAGCATGTCCCCTCATTTCTGGGGTGAGAACTCTGAAAATTAGAGGTGAAAAGAACCTAAGGGCCTATCCTGTCTCCTCTAGGTAATTTTTTTCCCAAAGAAATGAGATGTTGGTGGTGGAGAGGGGTGGAGAGGAGCTGGTGGATGGTCCCCTGAGCAGGCCTGTTCTCCTGCAGCGCAGGCCGAACACTCAGTTCTGAGCTGCGGGCCTAGGCCGGGAGGCCAGGGCCTGGGAAAGGCGGCCTCGGCCTCTGCAGGCGGTGAGCTCACTGGGCACAGCTCCAGCCCAGCTGAGCTCACCAATCCCTCCCCAGAGGCTACCCGGTCCAAGCCCAGCCCAGTCTGGCTACAAGGGCTGAAACGCCTGGGCCAGAGAAACAACTAGTCTGAAGTTAATCAGCACTCCCAACTCAGGGACACGAGGCACGGAGTCCTGGAGGCTGAGCCCAGGGCTCTGAGGCAGGAAGGCCCACCCCACCAGCTCCCGCTGAGCGTAAAACATTAGAGCCTAGAAAGTTCTATCAGAGCGAAAGCACCAAGCACAGTTAGAGCTTTAAAACAGTCCCTGCACTGACCTGCAAATACCTCTTCTAGGAATGTATCCTGAGAAAATAACCAGAGATGTGTGTGCAAGATTGCCGATGATTTGGAAACAAGGCCACGTCCCCTGGCTTGACCAAGTTTACACAACATCTGTATGACAGATGACTATCCAGCCATTAAAATGGTGTTTCAGAAGAACATTTAATGGGCCTACAGAGAAGCTGCAAAATTTAGGGAAACAGTATACTCTTATGCCACAAATCTGCTAGTAGATTTATTTTATATCTAAAAGACAGGAATGGGAAAATTTAAAAAAAAAAAAAAAAAGACATGAGTGGGAATGAGTTTACATGCGGCCCCTGTGCCCCAGCTTGTGGGTCCCACCACCCAGCCCACCTAGTTCACCTCCGTCAGTTCATTTGGCCCCTCAGAGCAAGTGAGTCTGCACCCCTGGTATATAGGTATAGTTCCATTTTTTATGTACATGTATGCATAAAAAACCTGGAATCTGAGTAGTACTCATTATCACTAGGTGATTGGATTAAGAACTGTCACTTCCTTATGTGAATGTTTTTGTATTTCCCAACTTTTCTATAAAAATGTATTATTGAAGTATGATCAGAAAAAATCGCTACCAAAAAAGGGAAGTGAAAACCCGAGGAAAAGGCAAGAACTAATTCCTGACACATATTACACCGCAAAGCCAGCCACCGACCGGTCTGGTCCCCACAGAGAAGGGAGAGGATGTGAGATGACAGGGTCCCTGCTCACACCGGCACTCACCCTCCCGGACCCAGACCCGGGAGAGGCTCAGCCGCGCTCGCCGTCCCTCACCTGCGGCCGAGTCCTGCAGGACAAGGCCCTCCAGCTCAGGCCACTCTGTGTTCAGCCGCTTCACCAGTTTGTAGGCATTCACAGGGTGGGACAGGTAGCCCTCGGGGTCAGCAGCCGATTTGCTGGTCAGAGCTTCCATTTTGTCGGCCCAGCTGTGGAGCCAGAGGGAAAGGGAGACTAACACACGCACCCATAAGGGCCTTGACCTGCGGTAACTTCCCCGGTGGGACTCAGGGTGCTCTTCATCAAGAGGCAACAAAGAATGGATACAGTAAGGCCCCATGGATCCTTGCAGCCCCTTACTCTAGACAAGAGCAGGGGACCCCACTGAATACAAAGAGGCTCTTAAACAGAAAGGAAAAGGCAGGGGGCCATCAGCCCATGTGGAGCCACCCTGGGGACGGCCCCGAGGTAACTCCTGGCCAGCGGCACAGTGCTCTCTCAATGGCTTCCTCTTACGGGTGCCCCAGATGGGTTCCCGGAGGTCAGGGGGGCCGACTCAGGGTGGGCTTGGGGACTTAGGATGCCAGGCACCTCTTAATCTTGGAGAGCTTGGCTTCCTCCATAAGGATGTACTCCTTCAGAGACTGCACCAGGTCCTTCTCTGCGTAAATCAGGTCCGTCATGTGTCCTACAGGGGACGGGAGAAAGGGCCCGAGAGACATGGATGAGAGATGCCCCATTCCCTTCCTTGGGGCGCAGAGCACCCGCACAGAGGCCTGTGCCCTGGGCCACGGGCAGGTCGGCTCTCTCGGCATCTTGGGGACCTGGAGTTAAAGCGGACTTGGCACTCCCACGCTCCCGGCCCCCAGCTTCAGGAAGAGAGAGGCAGAATGCTCTCTGCTCAGCACCACTCCCCCGTCCCGGGAGAAAGGGAGTCAGGAAGGCCAGGCGGCCCAGCAGCAGCCTGCACTGCCCAGGGACGGGGGCCCGGCTGAGACTGCTGGCTCCTGGGACAGCCAGGTCACCGGGCCTCGGAGGGGGAAACAAAAACTCTGCAAGTCCCACTCCCCCTAGGACTGGCCCAAACCAGTGAGTGAGGCCACCGCTTCCTGAACGAGAAGAGGCCTCAGGCAGGGACATTGAGGCGCTTGAGCCAAAGACTGCTCGGTAAGGGACAGCCCCGCGGCACATACCGATAGAGGTGAAGAATTCAGCTTGCACGCAGCCCAGGACACCCAACCAAGCCACCAGCAACGTGGACACCCAGAGTTTCATGGTCGCAGAAGGCAGCGTCTGCAAGATATTCAGCAACAGTCACTGGGTGCACAGTGGGGGAGGAGACGCACAGGCATGTGCACTCGTATACACACAAACATGCCAAAACCCTGCCCTAGCACACAGGGGCTCAGGGGATTCAGGACCAGCAGGGGGTAAATCAGGGATGTGGGCTCAATGCTGGCCCCTGCTCTTGGATGAGACAGGTCCTTGGGAGAGACTGCCCTCTTGGCCCCTGGCAGCCACCGGCCACATGGGAGGAAGGCTAGACTGCATGGGGTCAGTCACCACTGGTTCTAGCAGTCTCTATGCCCCAGATTCTGCCCCACCCCTTCTTGTTTCAAGATCGCTTGTCTGCTTCTGCCTTTCCTTCTGAACGTGCCAGGACAGCCAGGTGCTGGGGACCCAGAGGTAACACGCAGCCCTGCCCACGAGGAGACTGACACTGGAGGAGAGACAATGACAAAAACAGAAACTGACACCAGAGGTTCCGGGGGACCCACACTCCACAAGAAGTGCACAGCAGCTGGTTGGCCAGACAGGGAATAAAAACTGCCCCTGCCAGTCTGCCCCAGGCCACGGTCTGGGAGCAGGCACGCAGGCAGACGCCCCTCTTCCCGCAGTGATGCTCCCCAGCATGCGCCGGCCTCACTGGTGCGTCCCCATTCACAAATGTTTACTGCAGGCTCATGTGTGCCAGGCACTGAGCTAGGCACTCTGGGTACAGAAACGAACCAGCCACGTAGGGCCAAAGCCCCGGGTGGGGCCAGGCCGTGCTGCTGACATGGGGTGAGAGGCCAGCTGCTACCTTCTCAGGAGCCTAGAACCAGCCCTGAAGGCAGCAGGCACAACCTGCGACAAGCCCCACTGGTGTTGGACCTAAGTACACAGCAGAAGTTTCAGGGGCCACTGCAAGCTCAGTCACGCAGCTTGGGGCAGGCGGGTGGGGGTGGGGGGCACCGGTCTGATCCCAGCTTTGTCAGTCCTTCCTCTTCCTGCTCTACTCCAGCCAAGCCCCACCGGAAATTTACTAAGAGAAAACAAGGAAAAGAACGGAAATACAAATCCCGCCCCCCCAAATGTAAGCCTTATCTAACAACTCTAAGTCTGAGTTGACTAACACCAGGGTTGGGGTTTTTTTTTTTTTGCCTGCCATGGTGGATTAGACATAGTCACATGCGCCATTCCTCCCCTCGCCTTCTCAGAAGAAGTCCCAATCCACTGCAGTTCCAGGTTAGGCTGAGAGAAACCCAACCACAACCCCCGCCCCCAAACAGGTTCTAGACTCAGGAGGAGGGGAGGGTCAGCGAACGGCCTCATTTGTCCACGCCCCTGCCCAGTGTCTGCAGAGCCAGTGGCTCGCCCATCAGTGCCCTCAGTGTTGGAGGCCCAGAGATTCACGGGACAAGGTCCTTCAGCCCAGAATCTGCTGCAGCGCAGGGAACATTGTGCTCAGGGGTGCATCCTGGAGAGAGGGCAGCAGGGGAAAGCAAGTCACAGGAAGAAGGGGAGTAGGGCTGGCTGGCTGGGGGGGGGGTTGTGTTCAGGTCCCCCCGATGCAGCCCTAGGTCTGCTTCCAGGCTCACCACCACACTGCATCTCCGCCCCAGGGTTCCAGAAGGCCTTTCTTATTGTGTATACAAGCCCCTTTCATAAGGCTCGGTATCTGCCCTTTATCTCTCAAGAGGCTAGAGTAGCTCAGCAGAGCACGTGCTATGTGTCTGTAGGGAAAGGACAGTAAAAACCAAGGCCCGAAGACTGAATCTATGGAGAGCGAGGGACCAGCTGACGGGGCACAGGCTGGTGGAAGAGGGGGCCACGGCAGGAGAACAGACCAGACGTGGTCGGATAGGAGGGACCCCAGTGCTCCTCCCATGTGTCGCTGGCTGCAGTGGCATACCTCTTCAGAGAACAGGTGACAAATTCAAGAAGCCTCTTCATTGCTTTCAAATCACCTTGGTGATACTGTCCATGGTCCATGCCTTACAGGACACAGGAGAAAGCACCCACATTCCTTCAGTACATGAACACCAGCAGCCATTTCTCCGGAATGGGCCACGTGGCTTTGACCCAGCCCACCCATGAGTCCCAGCCTGGAGGCAGAGCTCCAGAGAACCTCAGATAGGGTTCTGGGAAACTGCTTCCCAAGAGCCTGCAAAGCCCAGCTCTGATGGAGGAGCGGACAAACCTGCTGGCCCAGAGAGCCTGGCCCAAGGAGCCCCAGATTGCCACCATCGACACTGCCACTACAGGCAGGGGTGTCCTGGAAGCCCTGGCCCATTTCTCCTGATCTTGGGCCCCTGAACACCAAAGGCTTCATACAAAAAAAGGGGCAGGTTGGGAGCGGGCAGCATCCCATCTCATACCTGTGCTCGGAAGCTCCTGGGGACAAAGCAGGTGGGAGTCTGTGTACCTGCCCTGCGCCCCCACAAAGCGCCCGGGGCTGCTGACGCCCTCCAGGAACCCTCAGAAATCCATGCTGAACAGTCCTGGAAATGGGCAACGTCGAATCTCTTTTTACGGAAAACAACATGGCATGGAGCCCGGGTGGAAAAACCAGCCCCGAGTTTTATGTGAGCGGCTCCTGAGTTGACAGCCATGCCTGACCCATGTCACACGACCGACACAGAACACTTCACCACAGACTTGTTCGAGTCAGGAAACCTCCGCCGTGGAAGACCACACGTTTCTTCCCTGCGAAGGGCGGCTGTAGGCTGCGTGAGGGTGGGTGCCATGCGCATACTGTCCAGTGAGAAGAGCAGGCTCCCACACAACACGTACTCTATGATTTCGTTTTTACAAGGAGAAGCGTATGTATAGATTTCCGTGCATCTATGCAAATTTATATATACACAGACACATGAAGCAAGAAGAGAATCATAAATCTACATTGTCTCTTGGTGAAATAAGTTTATTTTCCTCTTCATGTTTATTTGTATTTCCTAAACTTTCTACAAGGAGTTCCATGGGGAATTTGACATAGATTTTCTAATATGCTTAAAGTGAAAAAAACCAAGTAGGCCTCTCAAAGGGACTCCAAGGCAGAGCCGGCAGTCTGAGTTGGGACCCCCGTGGGCAGGCCCTCCAAACCCTGCCAACACCCCAGGGACAGTGATTCACCCACCAGGCGACCAGCACTGTTTCTGAACACAGGGCAATCCCAAGACATACAATCAGAGTCCCCAACAAGCCTTCTCTTTGGAAAGGACTTGTTTGGAAAGGCCATTTATAACCTGGCCAACTGGGCATGAAAAGATGTTTCCAGCTGCAAACCAGCAGCGTCCTCAGCTTCTCCCCTTACCTCATCCATCAGGCAGGAACCTCTGCCAAGCTCCCAGCTGCAACCCAAATGCAACAGCTTGCCTTTTAACAATGTATTTAACAGCCTAGGGACAGAACATGGGTTTGCTGAGAATAGGTCTTGCTTGGCACTGAACAAGAGGCTGCCTGCCTTCTGTGTAGGGGCCAAACCTGCCTGAACAGGGCTCCCCGCAGCGCCCCTGCCTCCCGGCGGCGTGGCCCACTCTGGGACGGCAAAGCCAAGAGGACAGGCATGCACAAACCTAGGAGCCGTATGGAGGTTCCCCCAGGACCGGCCACCTGAGCACATGGATGTCCCCTGAGGCCCACAAGCTGCTGTCACTGGCAGCCCAGGGAAGGAGGGGAGACACCCTGCTCCCCTCACCCAATGTCACACTGCAGCATCACCCTGGTTGGAGTCACCCAACCCCCTGCTGCAGCCACGCTGGCTGCCCACGTGGCTCTCTCATCTCGCCTGGCCTCCCACCCGCCTCCGCTCTGCCAAGCAGCCAGCCAGGCTTGCTACAGCCCCTCCTCTGGTCTCTCTCCCTAAGAACTTTCCAAAGGCTCTCCACTGCCCTCAGGATCACGTCCAAACTCCCTAGCCCTCAGGGGCTTTTGGACTCTCGTGACTTGGCCCTACTGCCCTCTCCGGCCCCATCTTACGACTCCAGCTTTCATACCTTCAACTACCCCCCCACAGGAAAGACGTACTCCTTCACTGAGAACCTGACGAAGCCAAGGCGTTCACCTGCAGCTATTCTTACGCTTTCTCTCTCTGGGCCACGAACACGTGGATATGTACCTCCCACTTGGGCACCATCAAAAGCACAGTCTCCTGCTCCAGTAAATAAGCAATGAAGCAGCAGAGAAGGCTGTAAAAATAGACCTGCAAAAGCCCAGTTGGGTATTCAGTCACCGTCCTGGCAGAGACTTAGCAGTCTAGGCGAGACCAACGCACAAGAAGGACATCCAGACGAGGACAAAACCCAGGCACCATCGTGTTTGATGCATCAGACTCACCACCTCCACCTCTCTTGACCTCGCCTGTCTCCTGGGCAGCTGGCTCACCTCAGACCCAGTGGAAGAGACTGTCGGGCCCTAAACTCCGGCTCCTCCGGGGGCTCCAAGGACATGCCACGCCCACCTCCCCAGGGGCTGCTGAGGGGCCCTGCTAGTGCACCCCAGGAGCAGGGGGAGTTAAGGCCTCACTCGAGGCAGCTCTGACCAGTGAAGGGCAGAGGACAAGAGGAGGTCCACTGAGGAACTCCTGTGACATGGACTTTCTGTCGAGCTCGCCCAGAGGTGGCCCAGCCGTGTGCAGACCAGCCGGCTTGCTGAGCAGCACCCTGCGTTTGCTTCCCACCCTCCTCTACCTCACCGCCCCTTCCCTCCCTCTCCCGCCCTGCAAGTGCACCTTCCCAAGAAGCAACCAGCACTTACACTCCACCTTGGGCTCTGTTTTCTGGGAACTCGCCTGAGATAACCGCTATTTATGATTCCGAAAATCTTTCATTTCTACCTTCTAATCCTCACCCAAGTCTTGTAAACAAGACAGATTATCGTCTGCATTTCAGCTACAGAGAGATAACTGAGGCTGAGAGCATTTCCCCGCACACCCGACGGCTCCAGCAAATCACCGGCAGGGCGGAGGTTCAAACCCCAAACGTACTTTCCACCAGACACTTCTGTCTCAGTCCTTCCCAGCAACATCTGCTGGCTCACAGCACCAGGGCCTCCCAACCAGGGGGAGCCCCACTTTGCCCTGGCACAGCAGGCCTGCCTGGGTCGAGGACTTCACTGCGGTTCACAAAGCAACTTCGCGACACCCCTGGCTGGATCCTACCAGAAGGCAGACAGCAACGTGGAGCCAAAAGACGGGACTATGGTGGCCTGAGTTCAGGTGACAGACGCCTCTGCCCAGGCATCCATCACAGCCCTCACAATTGACCAAGCAGGCCAGCTCAGGGCAGAACAGTCCAGTCGGCAGGGCACGCCCGCCCTGGCATCAGACAGCCCCAGACAGCCACCAACACTCAGCTCCACCACCACTGCCTGGCCTGTGACCTTAGCGAAGTTACAGGTCTCCTGCACCTCAGTTTTCCCATCTGCACAATGGTACTAACATTAGGACCTGCATCCCATAGGGCCACTGGGAGGAGTGAATGAGATGACAGATGTCGGTGGGCAGCCCAGCAGCACCAGGCACAACTGATACCAGTCGGCAGCACCGAGGACACTGCAGGCACATCAGTAGACCTGAGGCAGCCGGCTGCCCAGCTGACCCCTAGAGAGGAAGAAGGTCCGGTCTAGGGGACAGTGAAGATGGAAACAAGGTAGAAACTGGGCCGTCTCCAGTCTCAGGAGTGCTGGAAGGAACACAACGTTCATTCATGAGAGAGCGGCATCAGGCGCTGCAGCCCTACGGACATTCAGGAACAGCCCTGCAAGTGGTCGGTCACTGGCTCGAACTCTCGCCAAGGGAGGGATGTCTCTGGCAAAAGGGGGGGAGGGGGGCACTGGGCCAATCCTGCAGGAGCTCAGGTATTTCTCTGCCTCCTACGGGTACAAGGCCGCAGGACTGAGGCCACACCCTGGCCCTCAGGAGTCCCAGGTACAACACAGGCTATCTTCTAGTAAGCACTTTGTGAAAGGTAGAGAGAGAACAGACGCTGGTCTGTGAACAGGCTCAGACAGATCCTATCTCAGCTGGAACACTCACCACCCAAACACTTAAAAAAACGCTTTTCCACACTCCAGCAAGTCCAACCCATGCTTTTCATTCCCCTCTGCTCTTGCTGAGATAAAAACTATCCCTCTCTTCCACATCCCCAGCACAACCCAAGCCCCAGGGGCCACCCTCCCCCTCTGTTCCACGAGAGACTTCAAAAGCCCAAATTACTAGACGTGGGTGACATTTTCGGGGTGACTCTCGCTCCAGCACTCTGGGCCTGCACGTGCCTGCAGCACAGCACTTCCTGCCAACGCCATCTGCATAAAATTAAACTCTGACAGATCGCAGGACTCGGGGACACACCCACCAGCGCGGCACACACTATCAGCCAGCGTGGCCACAAACTGGGCAGGCAAAAAAGTGAGGCTCTCTCAGGAAATGAGTGGATCCCACATTCCCTCACCCCACTCATTCCACAGGGCTGCACCCTCGCAGTCTCTCCTCCTGATAAACACTCACATTCTGGGCTCCTCCCCCAGAACACGGCCAGCTGCCAGCATGAAGCAGCAATCACAGAGAGACTGTGAGCTACCCAGAGGCAAGAACAGTGCTGACACCTCCTCCTCCTTCCTCATTCCAGCTTCAGGCACGTTCTAGCAGAAGCCAGGCACACAGGGGGTCCTCAAGGAATAAACAGAGATCGGCTGTGACCAGACAAACCAGCAAAGTAAATATTCCCCTGGGCAGCCCATTTCAGAGCCTGCAGCGGGGCAGAAGGGCCTATCTCACGCCCCAGACTAGCCGTCACCATGTGTGCCTGCTGAGCTCTCGCAGAACTACAGTAGCCCAGTATGACAGCATCTCTGGAGTGAGGCCTCCGGCCAACTCTCTCCATCCTTGCTACGTGGCTTCCTTGGAAGGGCCGCACACTGGACACGCTTGGCCATCTGCGAATAAGAAGGCACTAGAAGCAAAGGATTCACAGCCCAAAGATCTCGTGAGTAGAAGTGAACAAAGAGGCTGAGCCCAGAGGCCCAGAACCACCCAGTGAGGAACTGCACCCTGGGCACTTTGGGAGTAGTTTTAAGCACAAGCCGAAGGAAATCTTAGTTCACTTCACAGAGAACTTAACCATGGAATGTATTGCCCCAGATGTGACATGTGCCGAGAAGCTGCAGCAGTTTGCAAAAACATTCTATAACTTTTAGGTGGAGAGTGGATGTCTGCAAAACCTGAGACAGTTGAGCATGCCCTAAGCTACAAAGTGACATTCTCCAGCCCATGTGCTCAGGGCCCGGACCTCCTGCAGGAGGGCTGCCACCATCAGGCTTGTCAGGGAGCACAAGCCTTGGGTGTCACTCCACAGCAGAGGACACAAGTCTCAGTCTTGGAAGGGACTCTCACGTTCTTCTATGCCATCTTAAAGGTGTCCGATGCAGAGGCCAGGAGCCCACCTCTGCTGTGCTGATCACTCTCAAGTTGCAAAGGTTTGCTGAGCACCCTCCACACGCAGGGCACAGTATGAGGCACTGTCCTCTCAGGTGAAGCTCTTGTGGACAGGGTCCATGGGCAGCTACCCCCTAAAATGTCCCTTCCCCCACCACCCTGCTTCCACTCCAGTGCCCAGCCAGGTCTGCTCCTTCTTACACAGGCTGTTCCTCTGTCCAGGTTAGCCTTCATTCAGACTTCATCTGACCACTCCAGCTAATGAGTCACCTCCTCCAGGGAGCCCTCTGGTCTGAAGCATCCTGTTCTCCACCAATGACCAGCAGCCTGGTGCTGCCTCCCAGCCCAGCACTCACCACACTGCTCTGGGCCTGGACTTCCCAGTCTTCCAGTCCAGTGGGTCTGCCCCTTCCAGTGGGTAGCAATCCCTTCGTTTCTGACACAGAAGGGTCCGTTTGTTGAATTACTTAACTAATTACCACAGTCTTTGCAGACGTTGAGGAACAGCAACGCAGATTCCAAAGAGATGTCTGAAGGGGGGAAGAAAAAAAACACTTTCTAATAAAACAGCCAGTCTTTTCATGAGCACCAAGGTGGACCAGGACACAGATTGCCAGCCCTTCGCCCTTTGGAGGGAGGAAGGTGGGGTCACTGACACGAAGTGGACCCCCAAGGTCCGCCGACGCCCCCCGTTCCACCCGCCCCGCCCCGCTGGTCTCCAACTTCGAGCCGCCTCCGGGCCAGGCCGCCCCTTCCCGGAGCGTGACGGGGCGGCCAAGTTCCCCGCCTGGCGCGGCCGCCCAGCGGACCGGCAGGAAGGCCGCCGCTGACCTCACCACCCTGAGCCCGGGGAGGGGACGGGGACAGCGGGACAGGAACCCGGACGGGTGTACAGCCAGGGCGGAGGGCGCGGGGCTGCGGCCCGGGATGCGCCGTGACCCCGGGCCCCGAGGGGGCAGGACGCACGACCCCGCACCCCCGGCCCGCGCCCGAGCCCCGCGGCGGACCCGGCGGCCGAGTGCTCACCTGGACGTTCACGCCGTTCCCGGCGTTTCCAGAACCTCCCGCGGCGGCGCCCGGCCCTCGGCGCCTCCTCCGCCCGCGGCTCCGCCTCCCGCCGCGGCCGCCCCGCCCGCTTGAGCCGCGGCCACGTCCCCACCTCCCGCCCCCGAGCGGCCGGGCTCCTGGCTCCGCGCCCGGAGCGCCTCGGCCAAGGGTCGCAGGCGCCTGCGACCCCGGGAGCGGGCTCGGGCCGCCGGGACGCACGGAGCGGGGCGCGGGCCCCGAGCCAGGCGGGAGCCCCGGGCGGGGCGGGAGCCCGCCGCGCGCCCTTCATGCCGCCCGCCGCGGGCCGCACGTACGCCGCGCCCGCCACCTTCGCCCGGCTCCCACCTGTGGGATTCGGGCGGCCCGCGGTCCCCGCGCCCGGGCCGCTACCGCAGGGCCCTGGCCCTGACCCCGGCCCTCGTGCTGTGCGGGGAGCGACCCTGGATGCTGCCTGACTCTCCTGGCTTCAGCTCGTGCCCGTTGGTTTCCGCGGCGGTCCCGCTGGGCACAAGCTCAACTACCGCCCCCTCCCCATCATCTCCACGGGCGGGTTGGGTGTGAGTGGGGGGTGAGGTGGGGCCGGAACGTCACCGGGGCAGGAGCCCGGCTATCAGAGGAGAGTACAGAGCAGTGGGGAAGGCCCTGAGGAGGACTAGAGACCCGGTGGCCACCCCCAGGGCCAAGCTCCCAAAGGGATTCAGACTGTCCGCAGCCCCTGGGCCCCCGCACTGCTCCTCATTGAAGTGTAGGTGAGAGGCTGGTGGGGGAGGGGAGGGGGTGTTGGCACAGTAGGACCACCTCTTGGTTTGCCCAGACCCTGCCGTACTACGGGGGCCAAAAACAGCGGCTCGTTCAGTTGCTCAGGTCTGGGAGGGAATGAGGCAGGGATGCAGCAAACCTCAGCCGGAGCTGGACCAGGCCCTGGTGGCCAGGCAGGTTCCCACGCCTGCTCTGTGAACCTTCCTGGACATGAATGAGGGGAAGTTCATCTGAGAATCTCATCAGGGAGTGTGCCCGGAGTGGGAGGTTCCCAGCCGCTGCCCAGGCACTGCGGGGCTGTTCCCCAGGACACGCCTTCCAAGCCGGCAGCCCAGAGCCGGGAAGGCAGGAGCACGCACACAGAAATACACACAACACGGAAAACACCCAAGGAGCCGCAGCTCGGCCTGCGTCAGCCACTGGTCAGAGCTCAACTAAACCCAAACAAAAACCTTGTTGCATCCGTGACATCCTGGTGTGCCAGCCTTGGTCCCTCCAAATCCTCTGGTCCTCTCCTCCTTCTCGGAGCTTGCCTTATGGTCTCCTGAACGGTCAACCTCCACCTCCCAAACGGATCCTTCCCTTGACCTGCAAACATGCCTGAGCCTGTAGCTATAGAAGAAAACCCTCATTCAGCCCCACCAGCTACTGCAATGTTGCTCTTCTTCCCCATCACAGCAAGTTCCCCTGAAAGAGCCCTGTGTCTCCTCCTCACCTCCCTCCCATTCCTCTGGCCCCTCTCTACGGCAAACCAGGTCTCAATAAGCTCTCTGTAACCTCCAGGTTCCTCAATTCAAGTCACTCTTCCGTCCTCATCTGCCGAAGCCACCACTGGTGTCCACAGGCCAGCAGCACCGGACCACTGCCTCCCCAGAACACTCACGTCCCTGAGTTTCCACCATTCCTTCACGCCACCTCTGCCCAGGCTTCTCCCCACCCCACCCCCCACGCACATTCTCCTCTCCCCTTCTCCCCATTAGTCAGTGAAGGTGGGGGTTCCTCACAGCTCAGGCCCAGGGGCTCTCTTTTCCTCTTCTCTTTAATTGCTTCCTCTGCTCAGATGACTCACACGTTTCTCTCTGCACTCGCCCTGACTCCTGGGCTGCAGACTCCTAGGACAGACCGCGCAGTCTACGCCTCCACCTGAGTGTCTGCAGGCCCTGAGTCCATGCTCTCTCCCCTTTCCCCTCCACGCCTCTCATTTTCCCCGCTGCACTGAAGGAGCCGCACCCCACCCATGGGTTCCCTGACCAGAAGTCTGGGAGTCATGCCTCCTGCCTCACCCCCAGACCCTGTCCTTCCACATCCCACAGCCAGTGAACCCTACCTACCACCTAAACCTCTCTCAAATCCGTCCATTCCAACCCCTCCTCTTGCACCTGAATGATTGCAATGGTTTCCTAGCTGGCTGCTCCCTCCACCCTCGCTTCCTCCCACCTCCCCTCCACACTGCAGCAACACTGACAGCCTCAAAATGCAGACGCAAACCCATCACTCTCAGCTCAGTGAACTGTGCTGGCCTTTGGAGCCCCTAACAGTGGTCTGTGAGGGCCCCTGTGGCCTGGCCCATACTCAGCTCTCTAGCTATGCGGACCTTCCTCCGGTGACTCCCACCGGCTATTCTCCTTCCACTCCCAGGCCTTGACCACACTGTTCTCCTGTCTAGAAAAATTTCCTTCCTCCCCAGTTGAACCCTTCTGACCTCCTCAGAGGGATTTTCTTCACCTCCCCAAGCGGGTCAGAACCTTGTAGAACAATCTCTTAGGCCTGTGTGCTTTGTAAGATTTGCCACAGTTGATTTAGTTGAATGACTGTTTGATTGATAGCTACCGCCTGCCCCCCCCCACTGGCCTGGGAGTTGAGGAGCATGTCAGTTCTGTGCGGTTTTGTCCACCATCACCCCCTCACCCCACAAACAGGCGCTTGCTGCCCCCATGAAGGGACGGTGGTCACCCTCACGCCTCGTTCCACACAGCGGTGGCCAATGGCCTGACGACAGCCCCCACAGAGCCTCAGAGTCTGGGACCCCGCTCACTCCTGTGTTTGCACCTTCTCCTCACCTATAAAGATACTTTTCATCGGATATAGGGCCCACGGGGGTGATGAGAATGATGTCATTTCATGATGTCCTTAACATTGTTGTCTGGCAAAGTCCGTTTTTTTCAAATATGGTCAGGTTCCCAGGGCTCAGGTATCAGGACATGAACAGAGCTTCCCAGGGGGCATCATTCACACACTACACCCAACATTCCTTCCTGCCCTGCACGGGCTACGGGGTCCCTGTGCATCTGTGACTCTCGGTTCCGAACGCCTGGCCCACTGCAGACATGCATAGCCTCTTCTTTGCAACCACTCGACAGGTGAGCTCATTGGCTCCCCACACCCTACCCTGCACCCCCCATGATGCTTCTGCTCCAGCATGTCCGTCCCCTCAGGAAGTGAATCCAGCCCCTCCCAGGCACGCCCATGTCCCCCCCAACATACCCCCACTGAAGGCCTCATCTGGAGGGTCTCAATCCAGGGCACCAGCACGACTCACCTAGACCACCCATCCTGGCCTCCCAGCTCCTGCTCAGCTCCCTCTGCCCGTCCTGCACGCCACAGGCACCATGGCATTTTAACGATGTGATCCTGTCCCTGCCGTTCCCATATAGGGAACCCTCAAAGGTGTCCCTGCCCCCAGGATAGACGCAGGTCTCATGGAGGCTCCCAGTCCCCTCATGCAGCCCCAATGGCCACGTTCACCATGCGCAACCTCACACTCTGGCCTCCAGCAGCCTGGGCATCTTGCAGTTCCCTGGCCTTGACGGTGTCGTTCTTCCTGCTGTCAACTCTCCTCTCCCCAAAGGGGCTCCTTTGGAAGCTTGGGCCCAGTCTGAGCCAAGTTCCCACACAGACCCCACCGCTCCTCGTGGGTGAACTTCCGGCGTTGCAGCCTGACCTCGTCCATGTCTGCTCCCTTCCCCACGCTGCCGGCCCTTGGAGGGGAGCTGCCTCAGTCCTGGCCTCCCTGCGTCTCCAGCTCTAGCACAGGGCCTGGCACCCGGACAGGGCGTGGGCAACCAAAGTGCAGGGAGGGAGGGAGGAGGGAGGAGGGATGAACACCCCGCACCACTGCGGCCTCCAGCAGACCTCGCTAAGCAAACCTCTGTGTGTCACTTCAGAACAAACTGTCACCTTGAACAGCCAGGGCACAGTCCTTTCCCCAAATCCACGGTGAAAGCAAAGCCACACCTCCGTTCTGGTCACGACCCCACTGCGTCCCTTCTGCATTAGCTCCACAAGCATTTGCTGGGGGCAGTTGAGACCCCGGTGGGGATTCAGGGACCAGGAATGCCACAGAAGCTCCATGCAGTGGGGACATAGAAGGAGAACAGAGGCCCCGCAGCACCCTCGTCCAGGGAGGGAAGGCCCAGGCCTTTCCAGCCGGGGAAGGCTGCTCCTGGAGCCGCTGCCTGCCGAGTCCCAGTCCCAGAGACTCAGGCCCAGACTCAGGCTCAGGGACCGGCTGCCACCCTTTTCCTAGTGTGGCCAAGAGACTTGCCAATTGAGGCCCTGCCTCCATGCTGTCCCTAAGCAACAACACTGGCTCATGGACTCTCAAGGAAGGCTAGACTTGTCTCCCTGCCACCGCCATCCTGAGGGAAGGGCCAGGGGTCTCTTCAGAAGGGATGGCAAGCAAATACCTGTGCTGGGTGGACAGGTCGCTGAGTGAATGTGAGGGCGGGTGGGCTGCAGGCCTTCCCTGGGCACAGAGGGTCCTCACCTGCCCTGCCCCACCCCTGCCTCACTCACCTGGGACCCCTCCCTGGAACGGAGGGATGGGCGGGAAGGCTCCACTGCTCTGCACTGAGGCCGGCCTGATGGGGGCAGGGGGGTACCTCTTGTGGGCCCTCTTGCCACCACAGCAGCGGGAGGCCTGGCCAGGCTTTGTGACCACTGGGTCCCTCCATGGAGCTCCCCAGGGCCGAGTCCCAGGATTAACCAATGCCGCCCAGAGGGAGCTGTGTTTGTGGACCCTACACACCCACCAGCAGCTCACTCAGCACAGGGCTGTTTGCTGGACTACAGGACCAACCCTCCCCTCCAGGCCCCTCCCATTAGGGACTCAAGAAAAGCTAGGCGTGTGGCAACTGACCCTGCGCTGTGACTCAAGGACAAAGACAGAGAACAGGAGGGGCAGCTCGAGTGGAGCCACCTAGTG